TGGGTTATCTGGGCCACAGCTATAATAATAATCATATTCGTTGGAGTACTATATTATATATGTTACATTAAACCGCAAATACCATCAACACCAGCCAATAATCGTAGATCAACATCCACTTATGATGTTGCTTGGTCTTGTACGTAATCAACAACCTGCTGAGACTACCAAATCTAAACCAGCTCGTAATACCAACTGAGAGACGGCATAATGTTGACGAATCAACAAAAAACTAAGAACTAGGTCATGAGTTAATCGCTCACACCTGTTGCCTAATTTTTTGGTTGACGAATCAACAAAAAATTATAAATTAGGTCATAAGTTAAGCGCTCGCATAGGTTGCTTAGTAAGCAATTTGTGCGAATTAAATAATAAATTAATTTAAGTAAATATTGCACATCTTGCAATTATTATTGCATTTTATTTTGTATAAAAGACAAAACAATTTTAAAGAAAAACAGTTATTGACTTACAATCAATGTCTCATCAATCGTATATTGTTTCCCCCCACCAGTGGTAAGGAACATATAGATTGTTACTGAACATCATTGTTCAACAAGTATGCCAACTGGAATGTATATAACTAAAAACGAAGTTAAGAAAGCTATACAATAAATGAAAAACAATAAAGCAACTGACCCAGACGAGATTCCATCTTATATTTTGAAATTATTTGATGAAGAAAATACTAATTGTAATTTTCACGTTTAAGTTTCGATTAAGACTAGTTTTTATTTATTTCATTTTAACTTAGAAGCTTACAAGCTAACTTAATCATAATTCGAACTCTACTCTCTTTTTTTGTACTCTTATAAAAAGCTTATCCTATTTATATAAAAGCTTAAACTCTACAACCCTTCTCCTAAGATTATAATTATACATCTATAATAATTAAACACGATATACATAAATGAAAATATAAAATATAAATATAAAACATAATTGAAATTCATTTTAATTCACTTTAAAAATTATATAATTATAATTATGAAATATTTGATAACAAATTATTACTCCGTATAAATTAAATTATATCCATAAATTATTTCTTATAATTAATCTTAGTTTTACGTTCTAGCAGACGCGAGCAAACACTATCTACATTTACATCCTTAGTCGCATCCTCCCCCGTAGTAACGACGGCTGACTCTACATTTGGGCTTGATTATTCAGCAGCACCGTTTAACTCCATTGTAGTTGTGTCATTTTTCATAGTAGTACCACTATAAACCATTATCTGGTCGACATGACACTTAATCACCCTATTAGTTCTTGATATTGTGCAATCTTATGTTCGTCGGCCTAAACGCTCCTTAATTCTCGCTTCCTACCATCCCACCTTATTTGGATCTGAAAAATCTCGGATAAAGACCGGTGTGCCTTCCGTAAAAACAATATCTCTACACCCATCGTAGTTTTTAATGTTACTAAGCTGTTTTTTACTCACGCTGTCTTTGACTAAAGGTGGTTTTAATAAATTGAACCGCGTTTTCATATCTCTACCTAACATAAGTTTAGCTGGAGACTCTCCTGTTGTACAATGTTTCATAGTACGATAATCAGATAGAAATCTTTTAAGCACTACGTCTAAACTTCCTTTTACAGTAGAGGTGTAAAAATCTGTTTGATGCCATTATTTTTTAAAAATTGTTGGAATTCCCATGCTGTAAATTGGATTCCATTATCGCTTACTATCCATCCACTAAACCATACCTACAAAATAACTCCTCTAATTTCTCCAACGTGAACGCTGCTATTATATGCTTGGTTTTAAAAATTTCTACCCACTAAGAAGTAAACATTCCTCACTGGTTCCCACGGAATTAATGGGCTTCTCTTTGGACTAGGCTTAACCTTTTTACAAGGAATACATCTCTCTATAAGCTCTACTATATCCCTTTCTATATTAGGCCACCAAACATAGAACCTAGCCAAAGCCTTTGTCTTTACAATGCTTAAATAAGATGCATGTAACTCTTTTAAAATTCTTCTAATTACGCTTCTAAAACCCCATAATATACATCCGCACTCAATTGAAAGCTCTAAACTTTTGGTGTGAAAAGGCGAAAATATTTTAACTTTTAATAAATGCAACTTCCCAGTTTCAATAGCGGCTTTTACTTTCGCTAAACAGGGGTCGCGAGCAGTTTCTTTCGTAATTACCTTAAAATCTAAATTTAGTTCATTATTTTTCATTATAAAATTTATATAACTATTTTCATCTGTATCTACAGAAAGAGGCATAGCTTGAGGTATACGCGAAATATTGTTTGTGAAATTTTCTGACCCTTTCACATTCTCGATGGTATCATCGAATCCAGACAATGTCAAAGCCCATCGCTGAATACGAGCTGCTGCCATCACTGGCAGTCCCTTATTATTATCAAAAATTGATAAAAGCGGCTTATGATCAGCTTGCAAAACAAATTTATTACCAAGCAGATAGAGTCGGAGTTTAGTTACTGCAAACACTATGGCTAGTGCTTCTTTTTGAATAGCACTGTTATTCCGCTCAACTATCGAAAGTGCTCGAGATACGAAAGTAACCGGCTTAATTGTACCATTAGAAAAACTGTGGGACAAGGTCCCGGCTATAGCGACTATATCCGTTTGTAAAATAATAGGTTTACTGGGCTAGAAGCTAGAAACCTATCGGATGTAATTTCCTTTTTAAGATGTTCATAGGCATAATGACACGATTTTGTCCACCTAAATTTAACACCCTTTCTTAACAATGCGTATAACGACTCCATAATTTCAGCACACTTAGAAATAAATTTGGAATAGTAATTTAGTTAATAATAATGCACAAATAACTCCAATAAATGCACAAACTTCAGACAAATTGCTCGGTATTGGAGCATTAACGACTGCTAAAATCCTATCTTGGTTTTTTGACAAACCATTTTTATCAATATCAAAACCTAAATAGGAAATTGTTTTCTGAAAGAAAACACACTCATTAGCGTTTAAACGCAATCCCACGTTCTCTAACCTCAATAGTATCTCCTGATATAAGAATATCGTCCAGGTAATTAACAACATTAGGTATACCACGCAATGCGTTTTCAATAGTTTTCTGAAAAATGGCCGCGGCAGGCTTAACACTAAATGGTAATCTGGTTACCTTAAAAATACCTAAATGTGTGCTCCATGCACATAGCCGTTGGGACTCTTCTACCAATTCAAGCTGATTGTACGCATTTGACAAATCAAGTTTGGTGAAGAACTGCCCTTTAAGAGAAGCAAATAGTTCTTCGATCCTAGGTAACGGATACCTCACATCCAGCAAGTGCTTATTGATGGTCGACTTATAGTCGCCACAAATACGCAATTCACCATTAGCCTTTAACACTGGTACTGATGGCGTACCCCAATCTGAATCCTCTATTAATTTCAAAACACCCTTTTTTATCAAATTCTGAATCTGTTTTTCGATTTCTTTACGCCAGGCCAATGGCACTGGCCTAGGTTTGCAAAAAACAGGTTTTACATCTTCTTTAAGACTTAGCTTAACCTTATGCACATTATACGTTCCTAACCCTTCAGCAAAAACGGTAGAAAATCTACTTTTTAGACGCACTACTCTATCATTTACCTGACTCAATATGCTTATTTGCATCCCAAAAAGTGACATAAAATCCCTACCATAAACAGGGCAGCTAAGCGTATCACTAATTACAATTCGCAACTTGTGCGATTGCCCACGACACTTAATTGAAGCACTAAACTCAACCAAAATCCCCACAATATCGCCACTATATGTGATGAACTGATCGTTGCATTTCTGCAGCTTAATTCTTCCAAAATGTTTATTGAAATCGCCTTTCGATAGTAATGAACAAGCTGATCCAGAATCTAGCACAAATGCGAGCTTAACACCGTTTACTACTGCATCAATGACGAAAGGAGGTGGTGACTTTGGATGACACTTATCATCTACACTAAAAATAGAAAAATCATTGGTATCTGTTGGAGATTGTTGGTCGCACAGCACGTATCTGCAGACCACCAAAGCACCAAACCAAGTTCGATAAATTTCAAATAATAATTTATTTGCACAACGAATAATTTAGTTCGATAAACTTCAAATAATAATTTATTTGCACAACAAATAATTTAGTTCTATATTAATTCAACGTAATAATTTATTTATTGAATAATATGTACAAGCAACTATGTATAACAAATACAAAGAGAAAAACAACCGCCACCGATTTGACATCTGGTCATGCTGCGATCTTAAGCACAACTGTACCAAAGCGAAATTGCAAAATGTACAAGAGCGCATTAAGAGCGCGATGCGCTGTGTTGATTATCTTAATTTCCTACAACATGCTCCGCCCGTTGAAAGGACCTTTTCAAAACGTTTAATCGATAGGGAGTGGTGCAATTTTGTGGATAGGCCGCCGAAGCACACCCTGGTTAGTGCGAATATCTACTACGCGAATTCTTCCATCTTCACCTGTTATAGTTTCCACAATCCTGCCCAGTTGCCAGTGTTGTGGAGGAAGATTGTCATTGTGAATAATTACCAAACGACCAACAATGATATTAGCTTCAGGTTTAAGCCATTTAGATCTAAGCTGCAAAGTGTGTAAATAGTCACGCCGCCACATTTCCCAAAATTGCTGTTTTAAGTACGTAACACATTGCCAACGAGATAAATATGATGTGTTGCTTATTGTATAATTCCTTTCAGGAATTGTAATTAACGAAGAGCCTATTAATAAGTGTGCAGGCGTTAAAGCTTCACCATCGTTCGGATCGTGTGATAATGGAATTATCGGCCGGGAATTTAAAATCGCTTCAGCTTCAATAATCACGGTTTGTATTTCTTCGTAAGTTAGGCTAGATTGCGCCAAATTTTTTAATAATAATGTTTTGAGAGATTTCACCAACGCCTCCCAAAGTCCACCAAAATGAGGTGCTCTTGGCGGAATGAACTTAAACTCAAATCCAGTATTGTTGCTGTACTCTTGCATTTCTCTAAGTCCTTGCTAACTGAAAAATTGTTCTTTAAATTTATTTAGTAGTGTCTGCGCGCCAGTGAAATTTGTTGCATTGTCACAATAAATGCGCTGCGGCAGTCCACGACGTGATATGAATCTTTTTAGGCCTAGAATGAAATTATTAGTGGATAAATCTGATATTAATTCAGTGTGAACTGCTTTTGATGAAAAGCAGACAAAAATTGCAATATAAGTTTTATATGGAACTTTACTACGAATACGATATGTGGTATAAAATGGTCCACATAAATCAACTCCTGATATTAGAAATGGTCGGTTTGCAACTAATCGATCGGCTGGCAGCGAACCCATGATTTGTTGTAACAGCTTCAGTTTATAGTGGAAACAGTGAACGCAGTTACGCAATACCTTTCGAGCTACTTCCCAAGCATTAATTATCCATACTTGAGAGCGTATTAGACTAATTAAAACCTTAGGGCCAACGTGCATGTGTTTACGATGTAGGTATTCCACAAAAATTTGAGCAAACCGATGATCACGTGGCAATAAAGCTGGAAATTTTGCATCAAAGCCTATTGGTGCATTGGTCAATCGTCCTCCTACTCGAATTATATTAAATGTTCCGCTTGTAGTGACCGTTTCATCCAAAAAGAGGTTTAGTTTTTGCAAGTCTGGATTCAAGATTTTACCCGATTGAAGTGATAATATTACACTGCGATATGTACAATGTTGATGGTGTGAAATAATATGCCAAAATGATTCTTGAAATTTACGCACTGTAATTGGACTCACGTCGTTTACGGTTTGATTTTTGTTTATTGGTACTTTGTTAAAGACTCGAAAGATATATGATATTATTCGAACAATACGACGAAATGAGGAAAAATCGTCAATAATTTTATTGAATATATGTTCATCGATACCATTGTTGCTACATTTCAAGACTGTAGGTTTTCGTTGTTCAAGGTCCTTTGCGAGAAATTCACTTTTTGATGTTTCTTTTGGCCATTCTGTTGATTGAAGCGACAAACATTTTGGTCCACAAAACCAAATTGAATCCTTCAGCTCGCTTGCTCGACAGCCTCGAGATACTATATCAGCTGGGTTTTGCTTACTTGGGACGTGATTCCACGTAATGCCACGCGAATAGTCCTGCAGTTCAGAAACACGGTTAGCTACAAAACAATTTAAAGTTGACGAATGCATCTTCATCCAATGTAACACAATTTTAGAATCTGTCCAAAAAAAGATTTCATTAATAAATGGTAATACTTTGGGTTACGGCGAGTCCTATCCCCAGGACTTTAAATTTGGGTTGTGCACAGGGTTTGGTACCCGTCACGTAAAATCAACCACCAATGAAGGACGCAAGAATGCCTCGGAACTGGAAACCGAATAACGTTGACGACCAATGCAAACGATTAAAGGACTATGATTTACGGATATGCACCTGGAATGTCCGGACCCTTTATAGGGAAGGTGCCTCTATCCAACTGGCGGAAGCCCTCAATAAATGTAAGGCTGACGTCACCGCCATCCAGGAAATGCGATGGATAGGACAAGGCTGCTCTAAAAGAGCAAACTGTGATGTATACTACAGCTGCCATGCAAATCGACGTGAATTTGGATGCGGTTTTGTGGTAAGCAAGAGACTATCAAAATTAGTCCAGCGATTCACACCGGTGAACGAAAGGCTTGCCACACTCCGTATCAAGGCAAAATTTTTTAACATCACGTTAATTTGCGCTCACGCGCCGACAGAAGAAAAGGACGACTTGACCAAAGATACATTCTACGCGAGACTCGAGGAAATTTATGACCGCAGTCCCGCCCATGACGTTAAAATTGTTCTCGGGGATTTTAATGCAAAGGTTGGAAGAGAAGAAGTCTTTGGTCCAACTGTCGGAAAATTTAGCCTCCATGAATCAACCTCCAACAACGGTCTAAGGCTAATTGATTTCGCTGCGGCGCGAAATATGGTAGTACATATGTAGCACCAGATTCCCACACCGTGATATTCACAAGGCAACGTGGCTATCTCCCGATCAAGCAACACGAAACCAGATTGATCACTTCGTGATTGACGCAAGGCACGCTTCTAGTGTGCTGGACGTACGTTCATTCCGTGGTCCAAATATCGACTCAGATCACTATCTTGTCGCAGCCAAGGTACGCATGCGGCTTAGTACCGCCAACAACGTACGCTCCAATGTTCAGAAAAAACTAGACGTTAATAAGCTGCGATCACGAGAGACAGCCGAAGCCTTCGCCGCTCAGCTCTCTAGCCGATTAAACAACCAACCCTCCCGTTCCGATAATGCCGGTAGACAGTGGGGACATATCTCTCACTCCCTACGCACAACAGCGGAAGATGTCCTTGGTTTCCAACGTCCCCCACGGCGAAACCAATGGTACGACGAAGAGTGTCGCCAAGCTACTGCTGCGAAGAACGCGGCCTATAAAAGGACCCTGCAGTCAGCAGCAACGCGAACCGTGCATGAACAATATCGGGAGATGAGGAAGGTAGAGAGGTGCCTATTCAGACGGAAGAAACGAGATCAAGAAAGGCGCGAGCGAGAGGAAATCGAGGTATGTAGAAACAGGAATGATGCCCGTAAATTTTATCAAAAGTCAACCGTCTGACTCAAGGCTTTAAGCCTGGTGCATCAACCTGTAAGGACGAAAATGGTAATCTGGTTACAGATACGCAGAATGTACTGAAAGTATGGAAGGAGCATTTCTCCAAACTACTATCTGGCGATGATAACATCAACTCTGCCATTGAAGAAATGCCCTCTGTATCCCCAATCGAAAATGATGACGTTGAAATTCCACCACCTAGCCATAACGAAGTGCGTGTTGCTATACAGCGACTTAAGAACAACAAAGCGGCAGGCGCAGATGGCCTGCCTGCTGAATTGTTCAAAGCCGGCGGCGATATGCTGATAGGGTGCATGCATCAGCTTATCTGCAGAATATGGTTAGATGAAAGTATGCCCAGCGATTGGAATCTCAGTAGCCTTTGTCCTGTCTTGAAAAAAGGTGACCCGACGATTTGCGCCAACTATCGCGGGATTAGCCTGATACCTGTCGCGTACAAGGTTCTTTCAACTGTACTGTGTGAAAGGTTGAAGCCACATGCCAACTCACTGATTGAATGGTGGTCGCTCCACCATTGATCAGATATTCACACTGCGACAAATCCTGGAAAAAGCCCACGAACATAACATCGACACTCATCACCTTTTTGTCGATTATAAAGCAGCTTTCGATAGCCCCATTAGGGATCACGTTTACGCCGCAATGTCTGAGCTCGGTATCCCTGCAAAATTAATTCGACTTTGCAGAATGACGCTGAGTAATACCCGTAGCTCCGTCAAGGTAGGATCGAGTCTCTCTGAACCTTTTGATACCGTGCGAGGCTTCAGACAAGGTGACCCCTTATCATGTGACCTCTTCAATTTCGTCATGGAAGTGATCATGCGCAGGGCAGGTGTTCATCGTAATGGAACAATATTCTACAAATGTGTCCAGCTCCTTGCTTACGCCGACGACATTGACATCATTGGGCGTAGCAAGCGTGATGTTACAGCTGCTTTTGCTGCTATCGAAAAGGAATCTGCAAGAATGGGTTTAGCGGTGAATGAGGGAAAAACGAAGTATATGTCGGCTACTGGTAGAAATGTGCGTCGCTCGGACGCCGGGCTAGTGGCTGGCGACTATACTTTCGATTCTGTCAAGGATTTCATCTACCTTGGCACCGCCGTAACGAATACAAATGATGTCAGTCTGGAGATCAGACGAAGAATCACCATTGCTAATAGGTGCTACTATGGGCTCAGTAGGCAATTGGGATGTAGAGCTCTCTCTCGACAAACAAAACTTACGCTCTATAGGTCGCTAATCCTCCCTGTGCTTCTGTATGGCGCAGAAGCATGGACGTTATCACAGAATGATGAAGCAGCACTGGGAGTGTTCGAGAGAAAAGTTCTTCGTAAGATCTTTGGTCCTCTACGAGTTGGCGACGACTACCGCATTAGAATGACGAGCGTTATCACGACATTGACGTAATTCAGCGCATTAACATCCAGCGGCTTCGCTGGCTTGGTCATGTCGTGAGAATGGATGAAGACGCTCCGGCGAAAAAGGTGTTTGAAGCAGTAGTTGGCGGAAGAAGACGTAGAGGTAGACCGTGTCTCCGGTGGAGTGATCAAGTTGAGGGAGCACTAACTGGACTTGATATACGAGACTGGAGAAGGCGCGCACGCAGCAGAGGCGCCTGGGGAGACATGCTGCGTCAGGCCGAAACTCGGTAACGGGTTGTTATGGCCACATAAGTAAGTAAGTAATACTTTGGGTTTTATTTTGTTCCAAGTTTTACAAAGAAGTACGGCAGCGCATAATTCTAAACGAGGCAGCGATACTGCTTTTATCGGCGCCACCTTTGATTTCGATATCAACAACGAACATTTGTAAAAGCCATTATACTTTGACCGAATATATATACAACATCCGAATGCTCGTTGAGAAGCATCGGCAAATCCGTGTACCTGACTGTAGCAAGCTGATGATGTTAAAACATATCTTGGCACTTCAATGTGGTTAAGATATTCCAAATCAGATTGAATTTGTATCCATAATTGGTTTAGAAGTGGAGGCAATGGATCATCCCAACCCAGTTGATGAATCCATAATTCTTGTATTAAGATTTTACACCGTATAACAATAGGACTCAATAGTCCTAAAAGATCGAAAATTCGAGCAACAACTGATAAAATAGTACGTTTGGTCGCAGCCTTTAACTCTTGTTGCTTATAATGAAAGCAAAAAACGTCATCTGATGGCCTCCACGCCAAACCGAGAGTTTTGGTAATATCATCTTCGTTTAAAAGAATTTGGTATTCGTCACTTGAGTTTACCCAATTTTTGTGGTTGGAGCTCCATTTTGCCAATTGTAATCCTGCATTTGCTGCTATCTTAGTCACTTGTGATACTTTGATGCAAAGCTCTTCAACTGTGTCTGCTCCCGTTAGCAAGTCATCAACATACAAGTCATTGCTCAAAACTGAAGCTCCAATTGACATCTCCTTTTGATACGCATTTGCAAGGTAAGTCAGGCTTCTGATGGCCAGAAATGGTGCTGCTGACATTCCGTAAGTTACTGTGTTGAGCTGAAAAAGTTGCTGAGGTTCATTAACAGTATTTCTCCAAATAACTAATTGAAAATTACGATCTCTTGGATCAACTACAAACTGTCGATACATTTTTGATATATCCGCAGTCAGTGCATAGCGATGTAAACGAAATGTCAATAATGTCAAAATAAGATCCTGCTGAATTGTAGGTCCCACCATTAAGATTTCATTAAGTGATCGACCCGATGATGTGCGTGCAGATGCATCAAATACGACGCGCAATTTTGTTGTGGTACTTTGAGACCGCAATATGCAATGATGAGGTATTATATAGTGCGGTGTGATATTGTCAAAGTTGTCGACACGACTCATATGACCTAACATCCAATATTCTTGCATGAACTTACCATAATCCTCTTTGAGAGTCTGCTGACGCTCTAATCGACGCTCAAGTGAAAGGAATCTTCGTTTCGCCATTTCAAATGATTCACCTAAGACTTCTGCAGACTCTTTAAATGGTAATCGAACTTGTATTTGACCATTGCTTATAATTGTGGTATTTTCTACAAAATGTTTCTCACAATCCAACTCCTCCTTAGAGTAATTAATTTTTTGATCGCTTTCTAATTCTTCAATTTTCCAAAATTTTTGTAACATTGAATCTATATTAGACGACTGAATGTAGTTACAAGTGAGTGCCCGGACAGTAGGCGTATTTTTATATTGTCCTCCGATGATCCACCCTAATTCGGTATTTAATAAACATGGAAGGCTGGTGCCTAACGAAATTTTCCCATCTAATATTAATTCAAAAAATCCCTGCGTACTTATTAATAAGTCAATGTGTTGTGGTTTAAAAAATAATGGATCAGCTAAAACAAGGCCTTCAGGAAAATTCCACGATGTTGTGTCTATCAACTGCTCTGGATGGTTCAATGAGATACGTTTAGTGACAGCGAATTGCGATTTGTGTTCTAACATCACCAATGCCTGACACTTCCTGGTTTATTCGCTCAAATGGTAATTGAAGTTGCTTTGCCATTTTTTCAGTGATAAAACTTATCTCTGAAC